GAAAAAATGATGGTTATAGAGGATTTGAAATAATTCTTTATAAATCAAAAACAAATCAACATGGTGTTGATAATATTGAATCACAAAGTAAAAATTATTAATTCCTGAAGTACCAGAAATTATTAAAATGTATGAAAAATATTTTGCTAAACATCCAACTCAAGCAAGTTAAACTTTTATTTAAAACCATGCAATATTAATGAAAGTAAGTATTAATATAATAATTTCAAATTATAATATAAATTTTATTAAATTACACATTTTATTTATAGCTGAATTTAATGAACAATGGTATCATAAAGAATGAATTTCTGAAAAGAAACTTAAATTATTTATGAAGCAAATTGCTACCAATACTGGTATTAATTTGGATGATCGCAAAATTAGTAATCATTCAGGACGAAAAACTCTTATTCAAATTGTAAAAAGATTAAATTTTTCTAATACTGAATGTATGGCAAGTTCAAGACATAAATCTGAACAGAGTTTGGCAAGATATGAGCGATCAGAAACTGAACTGCAATATAATAATGCTATGAAGCTTGCTCAAACATTTGGATTTAAAACATCAAATAATACTGAAGAAGGTATGTTATTATTTTATTATTTATTAAATTATAAAATATTAATTCTACTATTATTATTACATTAAATAGAATCAACAATGTCTTCGTCAAAAATATCACCTCTAAATCATTTATTACATTTATCCAATCATTCTATATCATTGCAAGATGGACTTACATTAGCAAAGTCATTGATTAATGGTAAATTACATATTATATATTTTGTTATAATGTTTAGCATTATTAATTATTTTTTTGAAAAAAATAGATAAAAGTACGATTATTGATACTACAACAATTAGTTCTAATGATAATACAAATCCATTTCGGCACCCACTTCAGGAAATAAATAATACTCAAGAGGAAGTAAATAATACTCAAGACCAACAAAATCAATCGCATGGATTAGAAGAATTAATTCAAAAATGACATCTGATAAAGTTTTCATTAATTCCGTAGTTATTTTTAATAATACTAATAATTAAATAACATATAAAAATTTATATTATTTTATTTACTAGCTTAAATATACTAATGTAGCTTATTTTAATATAAAATGCTTAATTTGTAATTTATTTGCGATATTAATAAAAATATCAAAAACAAGATCGTTTACATCATATAGGTGAGTACGATAATATAATTTAAAGTTCTTGATTGATAATTTTAATTTCTACTTTAAATAATACTAAAATTGCATTTGCTAAAACTTACTATTTTACTTACTTTACTTATTTCTTTTAGGCTAACTTGATATGCATATTAAGTTTACTTTCATATTTTTAGTGATGCAGCTTATCGCGATCGTTTTAAGAATAAATTAAAATTTTATTTATAAAAAATAACATCACTAAAATTATTGTTAATTAAAGCAAAAAATTCTTGGATTACTAATTAAAAAATGTTGGTCAACCGGTTGGTCAAAATCGGTCAAAATCAGTCAGTCAGAAATCTTTGACCGACTGATATCAGTCACAGTTATAACTGTAACCCTAATATTTATTGTATTTCTTGAATTATATATATATTTTTTTTATACATAAATTATATGATTTCACAACTTTGAATCTGAGCTTAATAATCAAACTATAATCAAACATTCTTGTTCCGTTATACTATAATCAATAAATAACTGAGATAACGAAATTCCCATTTTTAAATCAAATGAGTGTAAAAGGGTTGGATCTTTTGAATTGTTAATTTTCAGCCATGAAAAAAAGATCTGTTAATTGTATTGAAAAAAGTCTTGATAGAAAATCAGGTATATAAATGATATGAAAGGTTAGATTAAGTTCATAGTTTAAATATCTTATAAACTTGAACTTTGTATTTTGTTTGACAATGCTAGAAGTATCATTATGCTGCAATTCTTGATATTGGGAAAGCTACAGTTGCACGTGTAGTTGCTGAACAAAATAAAAAAAAATGGAGAATTTCAAACACAAAAAAACATGGGTCAGCCAAAAAATAAGCTTGACCATAACATTCCTAAACCTTTACAAAGTTTTATTATGTCTGCAAACACTTCTGATATTCTACTTTTGACACAAATATTACGATAAAAGCTTGAAGAAAATGGTTATAAATTATCAAATGGCAATTACTTTGTTTACTTCATACATCGGGATATTATTACAGTTATGATGAATGTTGAAATATATTGCATGAATCACTAGCAAAAGTTGACTTTTGTAACCATTTTTTATGATATTAGTTTGAAAACTTACAAGAAAGAAACAAAGTTCCAACTAGGCTAGAAGTTTTTTTTGAATGAATCATATTGTTATTTACACCATACTATAAATTATACTTGGATGTTCAAGTCATAAAATAGTATATTCGCCAAGGTGTAATCTCTTAATTGTTATTTTTAGAGTAATAATTGTAATGCGTAATGTAATACTAATAAGCTTTATGGTGAAGTTGTTCTTAATTCTTTTCTTATATAGGATCTATCAATAAAAAATGAGCAAATTCAGATAATATTTCTGAAGTTATTTGAAATTCTAATATTGTAGCAGGTCATGTTGGCTATTATGATAATTTTACAGCTAAAATTTTTAAAGATCTTTTTGATTAATATTAAAAAATATTACAGGCTAATGGATATTTATATGGATAGTACTCGTTATCACAAATGCTGGTTAAATAAGTGCTAACATCAAACTCAAAAAAGGATGCATTAATTACTTGGTTAACTTCAGCTGGTGTTAATAGTTTAGAAATTCTAGTAAAGTAGAATTATATGAATTAGTAAAACAAAATAAGTATCTTTTGTAAAATAGCTAGAAAATATGATTATAATTTGTTTTATACCCTATCTTATCATTGTGAACTCTAACCAATTGAAGGAGTTTAGTCAACTGTTAAAGATAAGATTGCTAGGTTTGGTTCTCACTCAAATCTTTTAGCTATTATGGATAAATTGTTATATATCTTTAATAAAAAGATTACCACTAAAGTTATTGTTAGATTTTGAAAAGAATACTTGACAAAGTCATATAATATAAAAAATCAAGTGATAATATAATGTATTATTGGCTAAAAGTGATTATGAAGATTCTGAAATTGAAGAAATTGATGATTAATAAAATTTTTTATAGAAATTTTATATTCTAATAAAATTTTATATTAAAATATTTCTAAAAACCTATATAATAAATAAGAATATTTAAATCTTTATATTAAATTTAAAATTTATTTTTTTACTATAAATATAATAGTGTATTAGATTTTTTGCATCAGATCATATTGATAAATTCACAATATATTCATTTAATTTAAACTTTAACACTTGATCACATAATGTAAAAACTTTCATATATAAAATAATTATTTAATATAATTGTGATAATTATTGATATAATTTACTAAACAATTATGTGTCAGTATACAAACTAGGATTTAACATATTTCAGTTAATTATCCTTTATAAAAAATTTTAGATTTTTAAAAAAAACCTTAAAATTATCTGGTATATTTTCATATTTTCAGATTATATATAAATTTATCAAAATACAAATTTTTGAATTTAATCTTTATTTGATAATATATAATAAAAATCTAAACAAAATAACTATTTTAAATTTTCCTTTTATGCATATTTATCCAAATTCTAAATATATCTTAAACTAACTAATAATAGTAAATGAAGAGTATTATTACTAAACCTATTATGAAAATCAGATCTTAATAATATTTTGTCTGAAAAATCTGTAGAATAATATAAATAATTTTTATAAGTTTTATTATACCAACTTTTTTTATCTTCAGTCTTTTTTAAAAAAATATAATAAAAGCATTAAATATAATTGAACCTTACTATAATGAATTTTCATTTTTAGAGGTTATAATTCATTATTCAATAACGTCTTATCGAATTTATTTGTAATATAGTAATACTAAATATTAACAATGAATTAAAGCTACAAAAGTATACTTGATTTTAGTTAGATATAATAAATTAACCTATAACTGTTATTATGTAGAGATAGTAAGCTTCATTTAGATTTTTAATGGAATTTAGAAAAAAATTTATTAAAAAAACTGTGAAAATAGATAAACGAAGATAAGGGTAGTGACATATATTACCTAATATTTTTGGGATGTGAGGTAACTGCAGGGTATTAGAAAATCTTAGGTTACATATACATTTAGGTATCACGTAATATTACTGGCTTAGATTTTGTAGATCATGTAATATTAGTGGCTTAGATTTATTAGCATTACTAGCACATACATAAATGTCACATTATAATTGTTATAAAAAAATCAATAAAATCATTCATTATCTGATAAACATTCCCTTAAATGTGTTTCGTCACAAAGAGGACGTTTTCACTGTGAAGAAAGAAGAGAGAAATCATCAAGAGTCGCTGAATTTTGTCTAGGTTTTTCTTTGTGTCGCCCACGGCTAGCAGGATACTTTGTTCGTTTATGGTTTGTCAAGCAAGTGAGAGTTAGGAAGTATTTATCACACTCAAAACAGCAAAGACATGAATAGGTTATTTGGTCAATGGACGGACAATGTGCATTATACCCAGGAATTTTCAAAAGATCATAGTATTCAAGAAGGTGTATAGAGTTTATGAAATGTCCATCCCTAGCTTTTGTGACCGAAGGTAAAAAACCATTGTTTAACTGAAGAAAATCCATAGCCTCTTGTGCACGAGTTAATTCACAACAGCTTGTATCTGTACATCTTTTAATATTAAGAGAATATTGACACAGGTTACAATGATCTTCAATCCATGACCATGGCATAAAACATTCTGGTGAGTCATTTTCATTTTCTTGTTGTTTCTTTTTTTGTTGTTTTCATACTCCTGTCTTTCTTTTTCTTTTCTGTACCTCTAAACTCCAGGTTTTCAAACGGATTGGCAAGTTCTTTGACATATTGTGCATTTACGCTTCTTCCAAAATCAAATCACGAATCTAAATATCACAAAGCACCTCTCTGGCATATCGAAAGTTTTGAAGAGCTAATTCCAGATTAATCACTTTACCTTGTGTATCTAGATATATCCTAAAGTGATCGATTGGTAGAGTAATACCTGCCAATTTTTTGGATAGTGTTGCTATGCTCCTTTCAACAGGATTATACTTGGATTGTCCCAGTGTGTGTGTCTGCACAGTGAGGTAATCTAAATCAAATTTTTGAAAAAGCTGAATGTATTTTTTAATATTCTTTAAATGTCTTGGATTCTCATCCGGTCTCCTATCCACTAATAATATCTAGATAGGTTGAATTTCTTCGTCGGTCTTCAATGCATCATCATATTGAGGATCTAGAATGAGACTTTCAAGGTCTTGCATATGCGTGAGTGAAGAAGTTCCAAGGGACCATTGACAATGTACAAAAATGGCAAGTTGTCCCGTTCTCAAATCATCATTTAATTCATTCAGTTTGATCATAAGGTAAACTGATGGAATTAACTTTTGCCATATCCTGCAGGAAAGTCATAATCGGCTACATGAACAGGCTTGTGAACTGACTGTAATATGCAGAATGTTCGACCTACAGCCGGTATCCCAAAACCTATCTTTGCCTTGTCATCTTGAGAAATGACAACAGATTTATCGGCAAAGACTGTGGCAAATTGCCTTGCATATTTAACAGATGCAAGACAGTAGTGACCATCAGGATGACTCCGTATTTCAGTACGTGAAATTCCAGCCACTGTGACCCAATCCGGATGATGATGCGCTTTTGCAGCAATAGAATTAGATTAACGAGGTAACAGATAATTATTCAATGTTGTTCGCACCATGTATACATTGTAGTTCTCTTCAAGATTCTTGCGTAAATTTTCGATAATTTGTACCTTAACAACTTCTTTCCTTCATTTTTCATCAGCTGCTCCAAATTTGATTAAATCATGAATATGATCATGTAAATTAGGATGCTTGAAAAGGAGTGGAGGACAGTCAGGTTTATCATACTGTACTACTTCCTGATTTTTGATAAGTGCTTTCTTTCTTTTTTCTTTGCATCTTTGAGTATAACTTGTGTTTCTTTTTAACTTTATGATTTTCTTCTTGTTAGATTTGATTTTATCACAGAAGTTCTCTATTTTTGCATGAACATCATACCGAATTTGAGGATCCGTAGTGATGTTGTAGACCTGCCTAAGTTCAGTAAGTTTTTCTTCAAGTTTTTTTTATGTCATTTGCTAAATTTTTTTGAGCTGATGTATTTACAGAAATGTCTAATACAAGATCTACCAAACGAGTTCGAGTATTAGGAGGAGGAGGAGAAGTTGGATCTTCCCTAGTAACATGCAACCTTGGTCTTATTGTTTGTATATTGTATAGGTTACACAGCGTAATCAGATAATTTTTAATTATATCATCAATTTCTGATTCACATTTGCCTTTAATTTTGTTCCATTCTTTCACTGCTTTGTGACAAATATCAACATGATTAGGGGTGCAGTTTCCTGTCTTAACCATAATATGGTATACTGTATATAAGTATTGGTAAACTCTTGATATTTGTTTGTAGGTGAAGTGTAAATAAGTTTTTTTATTAAACTTAGGGCTAACTAAGAAAATTTGATGACACATTTTAGCATTAGAGAGATAGAATAATGACGCGTTTATTTTACGAAAGTTGAGCGTGTTATGAAACTTCGTGACAAAACTCCTGCGGCAGCGAGAACAGGTATGATTGTCATGGTACAAATAATTCCGTGGAATCTTGATTGAAATGTCAAGATATAAATCGATGATCACATCAATTTTATACAGGATTTTTTTATTATTTTTTTTCACTTTTTTTTTGTAAATTTTGGAACACATTTTTATAACACTTTCTTATGTAAAATAAAGTTAAATTTATAATAAACTTTTAATTTATTTAACATTATAATAGTATATTTTATTACAACTGATATACAAATTCTATAAAAGGAAAGTGATTGATGTTCACATGATTGGAATATCTTACCTGAGGGTGTGTGGGTAGATGCTTATAATAAATTGATATTAGGTAATATATATTACTGCCCTTATAGAATAAATAAAGGAAAAAAAACTAGTTAAAATTATGAAGATAAGAAAAAAAAATAAAGATAATTGAAAAAAAGTACTAATAGTTGAAAAAGAAAGTAAAAAGTGGATTATTAAGAGTAATTTAGATTTCAAATAGTATAAGATGATTTGATAATTGAGAGAAGTTAGTAGGAGAAGATTCTAAAAAATTTAAATTTAAATTTAGATTAAAATAATATTGATATTAACTAAATAAATTTCTTACCTTAAACTCTTTCAGCCAATCTTATAAGCCTTCTTTCTTATATACATGATACTAAAAAATAAATATTGAATTTTAGTAATAATTTTTACAATTAATATCAATTGGTAAGTTTCATTATACTAATCAGGTTTTTTCCAAAATAGATTTTTGAATTGTTTGTCAAATGCTTTTCCAACATAGGTTTACCTTTATTTTTCATTTCTATCAGCATATTTTTCAAACAACTAAAGAATTAAAATTATTAAAATATTATTATAAATATAATTAATATAAATATTATTATTCTTTTATTTACTATTATTTTATTTACTTTATAGCCTTAACCATTCTTTTGAATTTTTCGCTTGCCTATAATCTATTAAATGCTATTATAAATCTTTTCTGTAATTACATTACAATCTCATTTCAAAAAGATAACTTTGATCTTCTGAACCATTTTCAGTAATCTTTGTTTCTTTTCCTTCTTAAGTTGACTAAATATTGCATCTCTTTATCAGACCATTTAATTATGAAGACATTTTATAAAATTTGTTATAAGATAAAGATAATTTTAAAATTATTAATATATATTATTAAATAATTAAAGAAACAAAAACATAATAAAACTTTTTTTATATATTATATTAAATATATCAGCATTCAATAAATTAGTGAAATATTTAATTTTTATGCATTATCTAATAATTCAAAGAAATAATCTAGTTTTTTGCAATTGAAAATTTCTGTAGTTTACACAGTTTTATAATTGAAATTTTCAGCAATTTTAAATTTGAATTATAGAAATTAAATAAATTGAATCAATAAATTAATCAATACTGATTCAATACTGATTAATTCTAGGTTCAACTCTATTTAATCTGAGATTTAACACTAATTAATCCCTATAAAACTTAATTACAGTAAATAATTATAATTTGATTTATAATATGATTGAAACTACTATTAAAAATTTAGCTGAACTAATTATCTAGTTTAAAATTAGTTTACTTAACATTCTTACTAAAGATGGTTCCCATAATTATTTTCAAATTTCAATTGAGTTACAACTTAATTATACTATAAGAAATTTAATTACGTTACAAGTTGTAACTCAGTTACATCATTTTTTTAATTATGATACATATTTTTAATCCCTACATATTCTTTATTATATAAATTTAATATAACTTCAAAAAAAAAAAATGTAAAATTTTTTTCATTATAAATATCAAATTTATTTTATTCTTTATTAATAATAGCATTTTTTTTAAATATAAATCTAAGGTAACTTGCTGTTTAAAATGGAATTCTTCTTATTCTACAGCTTTATATAAATTATTTTATTGATTGAATTTGATTTTTTGAAAAATTAATTTTATTAAATGTTTGTTTTGCATAAATGATTATTTGCTTAAATACTATTAATACTTCATAATTACTAATAATAGGAATTTCTGATTCTTCATTTCTTCTGATTTTTTCATTATTTTATAATTTCTTTATCAGTTATCATTTGATGAATTATTTTTTCTTTTTCACATTACAAAATATACTTTAGTAGGAATAAGATTTTCATATATAATAGAAGTAAATTGAATAATAAATTCTTATATTTTATTGATTTCATCAAAATCTGTAAAAATGACAAAATTATTATTAATATTTTTATTATTATTAGTATTTAGTAAAAGAATATTTGTGTTTCTCTAATAATTTATAATTACTTATGTTTAAACTAAATCCCATGCATTTGTTACATATTGCATATTTAATTATTTTTTTATTATAATTTTAGTTATAGATTGATCAGTTTTTTAATTATTATCAAATGCTTTAATATGATTTTGTAAAAATAACTTCTGATAATGTGCTTATATTTATTACATAATAAATAATATATTAGTAAGTTGATTTTATTATTTTATATAAATTATTTATACAGTCAACTCTTTCTACAACGAATTTTGATATAACGAATTTTACAATACAACGAATTTTCAGTGTCAGACAGATTTTTAAATATAAAAAAACCCTTATTATATCAAATTTAGTAATTAAAAATTCGTACTACATTTAATGAATTAAAGTCAGAAAAATTTATATATAAAATGACTCTTTTT